CCCCAAAACCCCAAAACCCCAAAACCCCAAAACCCCTTATGGCATATTTATACCTGAAATCATTAATCCAATTATAAAACATAATGAAGATTATTTTAACAGTTATAATGCTAGTTACTTTCGTAACTGCCAGTACAACTCTTGCTGAAGAGTCAGGCTATAAGTTCAAAATTAACTTTGCGATGAACTCAAGTAACACCAGTAACTCTGACGTCAAGTTGATCTTGGGAGTCTCCTCTACCACCCAGCCGTTAACCAACAGTTATTATGTGTCAGGAGCTTGTGTGAATATCGGGACTAGCAACTACCAACTCACCACTGCAAGCACTACTTTGAAAGGATTTGGAATTGAGTGGCAATGAGCCTCTTCTTGTACTTCATTGAGTTCCGTCTATAATTCGGTTCTCTTCTATGCCGGAGCTCATTGGGGAGCTACTCAAGCTCATGTTGTATCAGCTCAATCTTCTTTAACTACTGCTTCTGGAGTAACTGCAGTTAGCACCAGTGATACCTCAAGCAAAGAAGTCTACTACTCATTTACTGGATTGACTCCGACCCAGCTTGCAAGCAACGTTTACATGCCAAACCAGACGGAGACCTGGTATGTTAGATGCTTTGGAAAATTCAATCATGTTAGCTCTGTAATAACAAACAGTGGAGTTTCTGATTTGGCAGCTACAATTGGCAATGGAAAGAACTTATCTCTGAAGGGCAATGGATTCATAACTACCACCATCCTCGCTGTTGCAGGATCTCTGGTATCAGTCCTATCTTAAGTTTATCAATAACATTTTGAAATTAACTCTTCTTTTGACTTTAACATCAGAATGGATAATATCCAATACTTTCCTATTATAATTTTGAGATATCAAAAATCACTAAACATCCAATTTTTCTTTGCCGTGTTTTAGTCGTAAAGATACGTCTCAAAGGGAGCGAATGAACTTATCAGTTAATTCTGCGAATCTTCGACTCAACAATTCTTCTAACCTGACCTTGTGTATAGCAGAGTTTTCGATTCTTTTCTACTATCACTTATGCACGTTATAATTCATGAATAATTTACACAAAGTGAATTATAAAATCCACTGAAGATAGCACTCTAGTTCCTTCGGTGTTTGTTCATTTGCATGCTGTTCTCCTCTAAAACTTATCACTACAGCGGCGTCTTAATTTTAGTGCTGAGTTGATACATCGGTTTTTACTGGCACAGATTTTTAATAAGTCAATTTGTTCTGTAAGAGGTCAATATATACCATACGCAACATTTAAGTCATAGAAGTAGTAGTCTTCAGGATAGGAAAATATGTTATTTGAAGTCTAAATATCAATATAAATGAGACTCCCTTCTCCTAGCTCAGAAATTATATGAGAATTGAAATTTGGCGTGTATTAAGAACTTTCAGATTTTCAGCGTGATTCATTTAAAAAGGGGTTTTGGGGTTTTGGGGTTTTGGGGTTTTGGGGTTTTGGGG